TGCATTATGTTTGTCTGTGTTTGCTTGCATCAGGATCGCTGTGTTTTCAGTCACAGTGTTCTATGATGAGAGAGTAGTGATTGTGGCGGAGCAGAGGCCAGATGCCAGCGAGGAGGACAGCTTCCAGTGGATGAGTCGAGTTCTCCAGGTGAATCACATCATCGCCTTCTTCCAGTTTTTACTGTGAAGCAGCTTTTTTATAGGTGATGTTAATGATTATTTTGAATAAAAATGTAAAAATTCTCAACCAATTGGTTACAAACAATGGTCAAAAACAGTGATTCATTTTAAATGAATGCTGATATACTTAATTCACTGTGTCTGTGAGATAAAGGCTATTTTTTTTGGACAACACACCACTACTACCCAACAGTCTTGGTCTACATGTTGGTTTTCCTCAAAAGGCTATTGACAGCATCCACCAGGTGGGCCTCTACTGTCTGGCTCTGGTCCCAGCCAACACCTTACCTAAAACGCCCCTGGGTGGCATCCACATCTCCGACACCAAGCAGTTCTTCTTAGACGGCAACCTGCATCCCTGCAACATCCTCATGTGTCCCCATACATGTGTCACCAATCTGCCTAAGCCCCGGCAGAAGCAGCCCGGTATGTGTGTGGAAAAAGGAGATCCCATAATTATGCTGAGCTTTCTGACTGCTCATGGTATGAATTGCACAAGTGGAGATAAACCTTTGGCTCTGTCCCGCACCCAAGAGTCAGTTGGGGTATAAAGTGTTTTGTAAAATGAAAGCATGGCCAATAGTGTTACATAATGCACACATAACAGTTTCTAAATTTGGAAAAGTGTCATGCTGGCTGTTGCTGTGGCACATTTTGGCAAATGGCAACCAATCTGTATCCTTGCAGTGTGAACAGTCACATTTCAGTGATGTTATTTTGCATCCTGTATTTACACTGGATTAATCCTTGTGTTATTTTTCCTGAAAGGTAAAAATTAAACCTATGGTTCATTCTTGACAGGATTACATCTGAGGGGGCAAATATTAAGGTTTCCCTGGTCTTTAAAATCTCTCCCACACCAGTTTTGCCCCTTTCTTCCTCTGTATGTTTTTCTGTCCTCTCTCTGCCCATCTATTTGTCTCTATGACACGTTTTCTCTTGTAGTCGGTGTAGGTCCTGCATCTGTCATGGTGGGCAACCTGGTGGCAGGGAAGAGGATTGCCCAGGCTGCAGGCAGGGACCTTGGCATGATTGAAGACCAGGATCTTGTCCGGAAGGTAGTGTGACTTTGTGCATTGTCCCAGTCTTACCAAGCCACTAACTCTGAATCTGATCTGAATCTTTAGCCACATTCCCATTTTGAAAACAGCCACATACATATTATTCTGAAGGAGCAGGAAACTTTTGTACAGGGCCAGCACCAATTATTCAAGTGTCTTATGATCCTAAACACTGAGGTTTGAAAACTTTCCACTGCCAGTGCAGCAATGGTTCAAGCCTAGGCAGAACTCAGTCTTATAGATTTAATTTAAAAAAATCTGGACTCCTCTCTCTTTCTGCTCTTGTCTTGTCTCTTTGGATGTAGCTCTGTATGTGGCCCACTGTGATGGTAAGGATTATGCACCTTCCTCACATCCTTGTTTATTTCCATCATGCTCTAATCACTTGTGTACTGTGGTTTTAGTTTGTGTGCTTGTGTTAAAATGTGACACAAGCAAAACTGTGCATGTTTTTTTGTTTTTTTTTGTCTCTGTTACAACATATATACCTTAAGTAGCCACCCCTTGTTTTATTTCAGACATAACTTTCACATTCTAAGTTATTGTTCATTATTTTAAGCATTAGATTGGCTCAGAGTATGTGATGTAAATTGTTTTTGCACATTGGCAAGATATAAAGCTGTCTGCTGAGGTATGTGCCACTTTATTTTGTTTTATTTACTTGTTAAATTCAGTTCTTCCATCAGCACAGACCCTCCCTGTACGAGCCCTTCATGGTTGTGTTTGTAATAATGGATACAGTTATTCAAGCACACCCTCACATGTGCAGTTTGTACAACTCATTACATTTTTCTTCTTGTTATAGCATCAGTATTTGACAGAAGCTCTACAGTGGAGGGCACAGACAGACCCGGACCACGTCCTCTTTGTTCTTCTTAATGCCAAGGTGCTGAGCTCTTCACACACTGGAAAATGCAGCATCTCATCAATGCACATATTGAAGTTGCTAGTGGTTGCTACATGAATTAAACCTTGCGTGTCTGCTGACCCCAATCTTGCATTAATTCCACCTGTCCTGCAGGGTGTAACAGTAGGAACAGCGACCTGTGTCCAGCTTCACAAGCGAGCGGAGAAGATAGCAGCAGCGCTCACTGAGAAGGGCAGCATCAACACCGGAGATAACGTAGTGCTGCTCTATCCTCCTGGTAGGTTTGCCTTCAGCTTCCTTTCCCAGTATTACTCCCAGATTAATTAGTGTTAGGCTCAGATTGTTTTCTCTCTTTTTTTATTTTCACTCCACCTTTATCCTCCACCTGTCTCTCAGGCATTGACTTGATTGCAGCCTTCTACGGATGTCTTTATGCTGGATGTGTTCCTGTAAACGTCAGACCTCCGCACCCTCAGAACCTGGCAGCCACACTGCCTACTGTCCGCATGATTATTGATGTAAGTGTGCTCTTTTGTGCATGCAGGTGTGTTATCGCATGCTCATAGACTGTGACCTCCTAAGTCCCAACAAAAAAACTGCAGTTCACCAAGAGTCAGACTAATAACCTAAACTGTAAATCAGTTTTAACTGATGTATTATTGGATTTGTTTTTTTTTAACTATCAAAAATTAGTAACTGTGTCAGCATCTTGTATAAAAATAAGAAGATAAATCATGTTGTGTGCATGAGTGTACTTTTATTTGCTTAGTGCTGTTTTTGTCACTCATTTAATTCTCCCGTTTAAATGAACCATTGTATATATTACAAAAAAGAGCGATAAGAATTGTGCATAAGTTGGGGTATAGGGATCACACCAATGTAGCTTTCATACAGTCTAAATTGTTACAATTTTTTGATTTAGTGGGATATAAGACTGCTGTGTTTATGTATAAAGCCAGGAACAATTTATTACCTGGTGGAATTCAAAAACTATTTAATGAAAGGGAAGGGGGATATAATTTAAGGGGTCAGTTAAATTTAAAAATTCATGTTATATGTACAACCAAAAAAAGATTTTGTATTTCCATAAGTGGGGTAAATCTATGGAGTAATTTAAGTGTGGACATAAAAAATAGTAATAGAATTGATGAGTTTAAACATAAATATAAAGGTATGTGTCAATCAAGATATATGCAAGAACAGGTTTAATGATTAATTAGATGGAACATTGTGGGTGTGGTGTATGAATGTTAATACTCTGTAATAATTCTTTAATATATTACTTGTGTGGTGTAGAAGATAAGTATTTAAGAATGTAATTATGTACGAATGTTAACACTCTGTTATAATTCTTTAGTATATTACTTGTGTGGTGTAGAAGAGAATTATTTATGTAGAGATACTGCTTGTAAACCAATGATGGTAAGATGATGTCATGGGGTAGGACTGGATAAGTCTGACTTCTTCCTACTCCATTCAAGCATGTACTAGGTATAAGCAAATTGATATTGGATTAGCATGTGTGTTGATATATCAACTGTCTTTACATGCTTGAAAGAATAAATCAAATCAAATCAAATAAATAAATCAAACTTTTTCTACACTGTAAAAAAAAATGTCCAGTCAAATGTCAGTAAACAGACTTTTATGACAAGCTCCCAAATTAGGTGCTGCAGCACCCTAGGGTTACGTGGGAACAGGTTAAGGGTGCTCCAAGGTTATCTTGTTATTTTGTGTTTTTAACATCTCACCACCAATGGCAACATTTACATTAATTTCTCCAAACAGAACAAAACAAAACAAAAAAACATCAACATTTGCCAATTAAGAATGGTTTAATGTGCGGATATGCCACAGATAATGACAGGTCTTTGCTGCCAGATGTCACAATAACATAACATTTTCCAACTTGACGCACATTAAAATGCCTGAAAACCTTTGTCTTGTTGTCCTTATACACCTTAAATATAAGCAAATATATACACTGCTCAAAAAATAAAGGGAACACAAGGGAAAATAGGACATTCAACTATGTAATGAACAAGGTATTTAATAAGAATATTTCATTCATTCAGATCTAGGATGTCTTATGTTGTGTTCCCTTTATTTTTGGAGCAGTATATTTTGTTGAAAATGAAAGAAATACAGTACATGTAAGATATTGGTGCAATTAACTGTATTCATTATTTTAATTTTAAATATTGATCTATAAATTAACAGAGCACCTGTTGTGATTGAGAATGGGCCAATATTATAAACTACAATACTGATATAATGTAATATGTATACATACTGTTTCATGGGGGTTGGGTAGTATGACAAAAGGATTGTTTGAAGGGATGCTATGGTATAAAAAGTTTGGGAACCTCTGATCTAGATGACGTTTTATTGCTAATAATTGGAAAGTTAAAGAGTTGCAGTATTCCCAGATTTTCAACTACATGAGTGAATTTTATTTTTCAGCAGACTACTGTGTGAATGTTTTATGATTTATTAGAAATTCCTATTGCACATGAAGGCAGAAAAGGTAATTACTCTATTGTCACTTTGAAGCTGCGAGTAAAGAAAAGAACCAATGATGCCCATTAGCATGCAGCTTTTTGATATGTAATGGATGATGTTGCAGAATAGCAAGATAATCAGTGACAGCAGCCTCAGAGCCCACAGCACAAGAAAGTGAGCAGCACTGCTAGATATCATCCAGTTGCCAGGATGATCAGCAATTAGAGTTTGGGCCTTTCATGTCACAACTAAACATCCAGTTATCTCTCTCTTTAGCTCTCATTCCATTTTTTCTTGGACTTGCCCTTTACACATTACTTATTCATTCATTCATTCATTTTCTACCGCTTAGTCCCTGAACGAGGTCACGGGGGGCCGGAGCCAATCCCGGCCGGCACTATGTGTTCACATAAAGTTTATAAGGGCTACAAGGGCTTAACAGTTGTACTTTTGAAAATAATTGATGGCTAAAAACAACTCTATTACACAATCCTCATTTAATTGTATCACAACAATCTCTGCATGAATGTAACAAAACTGAAATATATATATTTCCTAGCTTTTACATAAAATATCACAAGCAACCGTAACTTTCTTTAGCATCAGTCTCATCGGTTTAACTGCATTAATCCGAAATTTAAGCTTTATCTGTAAATATATTTTAACAAAAGCATAATAAATTGTTTTGGAACAAAATATCCCAATGTTTCAACCAAAATGCATTAATACATATAACCAACCCTGTGGTATTTGCCATGAAAGGTTTTAATCAAAGTTTAAAGCGGTAACCCAACAATGTAGTTTTGTACTTCCATAAAGTGAGATACATATATAGACCTGACAAAAAACAGCAGAAGCTGAGATACCCTGACTCTTTGACAGATTCACCTTGCCTGCAAGAGCTCACATCATGTTTGTAGTTTGTAAAGCAGGCTTTCCATTTTTTGTCCAAGCCAAGATAACCCTGATGAAATGATCAAACTTAACGCAGCTTTTCCTGAGTCATGTTTGTTGTGTCTTGTTGCTTTTCTTTTCTTTCTCTCTCCTCTATCCACTCACCCCAACCGGTCGAGGCAGAAGGCCGCCCACCAAGAGCCGGGGTCTGTTGGAGGTTTCTTCCGTTAAAGGGAGTTTTTCCTCCCCACTGTCACCAAGTGCTTGCTCAAGGGGGATTTGTTGGGTTTTCCCTCTGTAATAATATTGATAACAGTAAGGTCTAGACCTTACTTTGTAAAGTGTCCTGAGATGACTTTTGTTGTGATTTGGCGCTATACAAATAAAATTTGATTTTGATTTGATTCACATACTGTAAAAAGTTAAGACCATTCAGAACCTTTCGAGCAACATTTTAAAAAATGTTAAAAGCTGTTTTTGAATAACAATAGAGGTCTATGGCACAGACTAATAAATTAATCCAGGGCTGGCAGACTGAGAGACATTAACTGTGAGTAGAGGCAATTCATTGTTGGTTTGAATCTCCATATGGGGAGTGTTGAGAATACTGTTAATATAAAAAATAATGGGACTTATACTTTCAGTAATGAATAAAGGTGTTCAGAATTGGAGGAGAAAATGAAAGGAGGAGAGGGGAAGGTTTATGAATAACAAGGACAATTTAAGAGGAGGAGGTGGCTGGAGGAAATGAAAAGCATTAGTCCTCCATCCAGTACCTTGCTTTTGTATCTCTGCTCTCCCAGTTTGAAGCGAACAAAGAGCTGACCTCCCTGAGTGTCCAGTGGCAGATCCTGACCCTGGACCAGAGTCACTAACACAACAGACGTCCACAGCTGACTCTTCTTCAGTGTCTCTGACAGACGGAAGCTCTGAGAAGAACCAGCCGACTGCAGAAGAGGGATTTGAGAGAAAAGTGCAAAGGGGAAAAAATAGATAAAACAACACTCATAACACAATTTTAAAAATGAATGTAATTGGTTACATTTTACCCAGATATATTTTTACTATTTAACATTGCACACATGCATCAGGCAGAAGCAGTGAAAAAAGAAACCAAAATACACGACCTACACTAATATAAGGCTTAAATGGCATAGAGACATGCTCCAGATCAATGCTTTGGACATCACAATCAGCATCCTGGGAAGATGGCCACTTATTAATCTAGAGCACTCAGACTGAAGGCTGAATGAATTAATGAATCACTTTTCTCCAATGAAAATGGACTGATCCTTCATTTCACTGAGAAATTAGGTAAAGCTTGCAGTAGCTACAGTGCAGCGCGGCATCACTTTCTTCCATATATAACAGCCATATACAAACATAATTAGCTGAGCTTACATGAAGACGCTGTCTTTTCTCTGCTCAGCCACAAGCATAGGCAGAAAAAAAAACACAGTGCATAGTCTCTGACATACTACAATCAGCATCTTAAGTGGCAGGGGAACATCTACTCAGAGGCCACTTTATTTGGTACACCTGTTAAGTAATGCAAACAACTTCAAAGCACACATTTGTGGTTGCAGTTCAATCAAAAGACATGCATACAAGCGCAAACATTTCTGACTAAACAAAGAAGCCAGATGTTATAGTTGCAGCAGCTCAGGAAGAAATGCCCTACTCAGACTGATAGATGCATGCACTATAGAGGATGGTGTGTGCAGATAATGATGATGACGAGCTAAAATAAATCATGCACTCTGCAGCTGTTCTGTGAGTGAAAACATTGTAAGTGAGGAGTCTGAACACAGTAGGCAGATTCATCTGATGGATAAGTCCGAGAAATATCCTATTTTTTCCTTTTTCAATAAAAGGCCACGATCAACAAAATTTTATTCTCTCTCTCTCTCTCTCTCTCTCTCAATACTGCCCAATGCTCTACCCCATCTGTGCTCCCTAAAGCAGGCATCACGAAAAATGGAAAGGAGGGGGTGCTCCACTAAGTCAGAAGAGTTTTTCATAGCCTGGAAAGATAGTTTAATAACATATAAGAAAGCCCTTCGTAGTACCAGAACCACATTTTATTCATCACTGATTGAGGAAAATAAGAACAACCCCAGGTTTCTTTTCAGCACTGTAGCCAGGCTGACAAAGAGCCACAGTGCTGTTGAGCTTAACATTCCCTTAGATCTCAGCAGCAATGACTTCATGAGCTTCTTTACAAATAAAATCACAACTATTAGAGAAAAAATTGGTCGGACCACTCCCACAGCTCTCGCAGATGTGCCATCTACTACAATGGCTTTAGAAACATCTGTAAGACCTCATTTATACTTGGACTACTTCTCCCCTATAGATCCCTCTGAGTTGACCTCAACAATTGCTTCATCTAAATCATCAACATGGCTCCTGGACCCCATCCCGACCAGGCTGCTCAAAGACGTCTTTCCCCTAATCAACACATCCATACTAGATCTGATTAACCTCTCTCTATTAACAGGTTATGTTCCACAGTCTTTTAAAGTTACAGTAATTAAACCTCTACTCTTGACCCAGGTGTCCTAGCTAATTATAGACCAATATCCAATCGCCCATTTATTTCCAAAATCCTTGAAAAAGCTATTGCAAAGCAGTTATGTGACCACTTGCACAAGAATGATTTGTTTGAGGACTTTCACTACTGTTTCCGCTGTGCTACCTCTGGTCCTTCGACGAGAGAGAAGACGAGCAGCAGAGAAAGGGACAGAAGAAAAGGACACTTAAAACATTAATTTAAGAAGTTTATGTTTGAGTTTTACTACCAGCCAAAATCCTTGAAAAGGCTGTTGCAAAGCAGTTATGTGACCACTTGCACAAGAATGATTTATTTGAGGAATTTCAGTCAGGATTTAGAGTCCATCATAGAACAGAAACTGCACTAGTGGAAGTCACCAAGAACCTCCTCCCAGCCTCAGATAAGATAGGTTTTTCTCCAAACCTGTCCTCTGAGATCTCAGTGCTGCTTTTGACACCATTGGTCACAGCATCTTACTGCAGAGACTTGAACATGTTATTGGGATTAAAGGGACTGTACTAAGTTGGTTATCAGAAAGATTTCAATTTGTTCATGTTAATGACAAATGTTCCACACAAACTGAAGTTAGTCACGACGTTCCACAGGGCTCTGTGTTAGGTCCAATTCTCTTCACTTTATACATGCTCCCTTTAGGCAATATTATCAGGAAGCACAACATAAATTTCCATTGCCATGCAGATGATACTCAGTTATATTTATCTATGAAGCCAAATGATTCAGGTCAGCTGCTCAAACTTCAAGCATGTCTTAAAGACATAAAGGCTTGGATGGCCTGTAACTTCTTACTTCTGAACTCTGACAAAACTGAAGTCTTAGAAATCTGCTGTGTAATCATGTAGTTACTTTAGATGACATAGCTCTCGCCTCCAGTACTACTGTGAGGAACCTTGGAGTCATTTTTGACCAGGATATGTCCTTTAAATCACACATAAACCAAGTCTCTAGAACTGCCTTCTTTCACCTGCGCAATATTGCAAATTCAGGAGCATCCTGTCTCAAAGTGATGCTGAAAAACTGG